GTGTGCGACCGATTTAATGAGCCACAAATGAGAAGTAGTGCTTAAACAGTATAAAACTACAACTTTCCCTTCTGTTGATAAAAGGCGCAGCCATCTTGGATTCTGAACTTGGAATCCTCTGTGCTGCTCCGAGATATTTCGCGGATCTCTGAGAAACTGGAGCGCATGTCGTCACTTCCGGCTTCAAAACTCGGAATCCGGCTCGGATTATGAGTTCCTAGGGCAAATGGAACTCACCAAAACTGCCCAAAATGGGTTGACAGAGACATTTCGGGGATTTTGAGTCATTCTGCACTGCAGATGGGCTAATTGCATTAAAAATTTTAATCAGATTAATCATGATGATGGATTAATCTGCGTTAACCCGTTAATTTTGACAACCCTGATTAAAATATAAAGTTGCCCCTGATAGGGATTTATTTACGTTTATAGATTAAGGTGTGGGTGAAATTTTTAAGGTGGCGTGAACATTTCAGGTTGTACCTTCAAGGGCCCTCATTTATAGAAAGGATGAAGCAGTTATGGATAAATTTTACTAGTAAATTGATAGCAGTTCCGTACAATAATAGATGTGTTTTTACTAGCATCAGTCATTGCATTGTAATTCAGCAGAAAGGATTACTCTGTGATTTATATATTCTGCCTGTGATTTAAAGAATATGTCTTAATATTGAGACAAGCAGACCTAAAGTACATATTAAGAGCCTGAATATTTGAAGTCAGTTCTTGTTCCTCAGAGTATGAGAGGACTTCGGTGGGCGTAGCTCTTTTGCAGGCTGTAGGTGTTTGATGCCACAAAACTTTAATACAGAGCACAGAGGAGAGACTATGTCGGCCTACTGGGCAGCTACTATTTGCCGTAGACACGAAATTCAGCCTCTGTGATAAACAGACACGCAGACAGCCCGATGGGGGGGGGGGTCCAGTGTCATACCAGTAGGTTGCTTGTTGTTTTTTTATGAGACATCTTGTTCTTTTCCATTGGTCTTATTACGTTTTCTTTCACAGTCTCACTGTCCTCCTTATTTCGAAGAGAAATATATGTGCAGTATATCAGTATATTACATTTTAAGGTGGATTTGGGTTTAGTATAATACAACATGTCACTTTCAGTTTGCCTTTTAATGTCTTGTGGCTATGGCAGTATACCTGTGCAGTGTTTCCCCTAGGTTTACAGCCTTGGGGGGGGACAGAAGGACACAGACAGGATTCATGGTGTTCATGTGTTTCATTTAATGACAGCAATAAAAAAAAAACGCAGATATTTTTGTCTGCTTTTCAGGTGGTTGACGTGACATATTAACCGATGCGTGCTCTCAGGACAATGTATAGACCTGTTATATAGGAAAGGTAACCTTAAATGACTTCTGTTGTGATCTGGCACTATATAGAAAATAAAATAAAATTAAATTAACTTGACCTTCAAGGGGGGGTGGGGCGCCCCCCAAATATAGTGGTAGGAGAAACACTGCTTTGTCTTCACACGTAATGACAGCACTGACTGTAGCCTGTTTATGCTCTCTGTTACATGTGGTCTGGTCTGCTGCAGTAACTGATTATATATGTATATTTGACTTTGCTGATTCTGTGTAGTTTAACATGCTTATCGTGGCCAGCTGATATGCACTCACCCTCATAAGGAAGAGCAGCATTTCAGAATTGCTTCCCAATTCATTTTTTTAAATTTACTTTATTTTGTCCCCACTTTGGGGGAAAGCAGCAAAAACACTCGACTCTGCATCTGAAAGTTCTCCAAATGAGTCAACAGCCACACAGGTGTCATGCGACCAGTGCAGTGTGTTTTCACAGCAAAACTTTTCAGTTGTTTTTTTTTGCACTTTCTTTCTCTTCATTTCACTTTAGAAAGTCACTTTTTTGTAATTTTATTCCAAAGGTCCGTAAGCCACAGCAAAGAAGTTATTATAATTTAGCTGCTGCTACAGACTTAAAATGCCGGTTTTCCTGTTAATGGTTTAATACGCCTGACAGCCCTCTGTGATCCATGGCTGGGGTGTCTTCTGCATTTTTTTTTTATATCAGTTGTAGAAGAGGCAATAGATGCAAGGGTCTTACATGCCACTGCATTGACAGATAGTGGGAAAATCTTGCAAAATGGCCAGAGCGCTCAGGTTTATACAGAAAATTGTTTTTTTTCTGTATGTTTCCATTTTTAAACTAACATCCTGAAAATAACATCACTCTGAAATGACTGGGGAGAAAAAAAAAAACTCTTTGATTTCTCTTTATTAATTTCTGTTGCCTTGGAAACCTATTGCAAACCGGAGCTTTTAAAAGGTGTTTTCCTCCAGGTAGACTCTGGAATTTCAGCACCCAGGAGGATTTTAAAATGATATTTTTAATGACGTCCATATCAGCAGACGAAAAATACTGGAGCAAAGAAACATGGTGAAGTTTTAGGTATTGCAGTGTTTTTCAGTTTTTTTTTTTTTTTTTCCTATTTTCAGGTTGTTTTTCAAACCTACTTCTCATTACTGGAGGTTGTAAATACACTGGAAACAAAAACAATCAGCGAATTTCTATACAGGAAAGAAAAATGTCTACATTTACATTACTTACATTATTGAATTGCAACTAAAACATCTCACAGTGGATGACTCAAGAAATTTACTCTTTTTTGTCGTCTTTAAAGATATAAAGGTGTTTTTTCTAAACAGCTATAGAAGCTGTTTCATCCATCCATCCATTTTCCATACCCGCTAATCCTGTGCAGGGTCGTGGGGGTCTGGAGCCTATCCCAGAAACTATGGCTGCAGGGCTGGGAACAACCCAGAACAGGGCGGCAACCGAGGAAGCAGTTTTACTAAGGACAAAATGTTAATTCTTCTATCAGAAATGATTTGTGTAATTTGTATTAAAGATGTCTTGCAGTATTGTAGCCATTAATTGCAAAAACTTCAAAGATTCCTACTACTCTGCAGTAACAACTGCTAAAAAACCTTACAGAATATTATTTGTAATATTGTATTATGAATGTAACACCACAACCTTCACCAGGTGGATGTAACTCCATATACAAGAACAAAGCTGTTGAATTATAAATTGTCTAGTCAACCACATTCTTTGAAAGCATTCTTGACTGTGGCTTTCTAACTTCACGTTTTAATAATCCGAGTTAGGCTGAGCAGGTGATTTGTGGAAGCATCCTTGCCCGGTAATCTTACTGGGTCTGGCGTGAGCCTACTGGCACAAAAAATACCTGCGCAGAGCAGATCGACGTCGGCAAGAAGGTATTGCATCTGTTAACAGATTGTTGGTTCTGGTTTACTATTTGCGTTTTTTGAGTTTTATATCTGTAATTTTTATCATGTACGTGGGTAATATATAAATAAATGATTAATTTGGTGAGAATAATATGGGATATGCTGTATTTAAGTATGGCTCCGGTCAGCTGGGACCTCGACCGTCATGTGGTACGTCATCAATTTCCTTTTTAAAAATAATTTAGCTTAGGTCCCGTCAAAACAGGCTAGTTTTTCAACAGACCTATATGGCACAGACTTGATTAAGGTATCCGAAGTAGCGCAGGTGTTATGCCGTAGGCATCCCTACGCCATAGAATGCATGCCTGTCTCTAAATGACCGATTGGTCGCTGATCTGAAACGAGTTGAGCTACTTTGTCGAGTTAGGCTACCGTAGTGCTAATCGATAGCCCTAACCTTAATCCCAAAACACCCCTAAAACCCTAACCCAAAAAAACCCTAATCCCCAAAAAAACCCTAAAAGCTCAACTGGTCAGAACACCGGCATGCATTCTACGGCAGGGATGCCTTTTTCGGCATAACACCGGGAAGGGGTGTGCGGATCGATGCGGAAATATCGATTCTTTTGATGTATATGTTTTCATTTTCAGAATCGAATCGATTCAGACTTTAAAATATGGATTATGACCTAGTAATCTAAATGTTTATTATTTATTATTATTATAGGCGGCAGGGCTGACCATGGGGGGCATACACTAGGGGAATCGAGCAGCCAACACCCCCAACACGCACACGCGCGCGCTCGGCAAGTTTTTTTTTTTTTTTAATCATATACCAACCTGGGATGCCTACCTGGGAATCGGCCATCCCTGGCTCGGCTGCGATCCCTGAGTGAGAACCTGCCATCCCTGGCTCAGCCACGCTTTCGGACGGCCTTTTACCGTGCCGCGCTTTCACGCGCCGTCCGGTGTCACGTGACTCGCGAGAAGGTCTCGCGCCGCTGATGCTTTGCTAATGGCTACTGGCTAATAGCCGTTAGTGCACACACGATAGCATAGCACGGCTAGTGAATAGTGCTTGCTGGGATGGAGCAGGTGCTGGTGCTGCAGGGAGACAAAATAACGCGCAGAAATCTGCCGTTTATTACTCACAGCTGAATGGAGGAGCCCGCTAATGGCTTCACTTTTAGCCACCGAATCTGAATCAGTGCCCATTACCATAGTAACTTAGTGCTTCTTCAAGGGCTACATTAGGTACGGTCCATTACTGTTAGGAATGACCGGTTCCCTTCCCGAGTTCTGCTTTTTATGGTCACTTCTGGGAATTCTCCATGGGCCATGTTTTTGCTCTGGGGGCGCATTAGATGCTCTGCTCCCCCAGTGTGTTGCTGTACAGATGGAGCGATGCCGCATAGACTATTAAGAAACGCCGCGGACACAGCATGCGGAATCAGACATGATGAAAGACTGTAACTTAGAGAGATTCACATCTCCATTTCGTGTACTTCATGAGAAAGAGTAATTCCATTCATGTAAATACTTCAGAACAAAATGTGTGTTATTCCTGTATCTCAGGCATACATCTGGGGATTTTTCCTTGTAATGTTTAAATTTAGAAATGAAGGTGGTGTAGAAAACATGGATAGTGAATAACAAAGGAAAATTAAAAAACCATGTCATTGCATTGAAAGCATTTCTAACCAATTATGTAACAGACTGCAGTGTGTGCATGAGGAAAAGATAAGTGAATAAAAATTGAAACCCCTATTCTTACCCCTAGACATGATGACTTGAAGGAAATGCTGGATAGCAACAAAGATTCCCTGAAGCTTGAGGCCATGAAGAGGATTGTTGCAGTAAGTTCCCCCTTATGCCGGCTTTTGAGTAGCAACAAGGAGTGAGTGCCAACCATAATGCATTTCCCAGGTCATTATTATTAATTTTTATTATGTGAAGTGCATCCACCCAGTGGTGTCATTTGGTGGGTCAGAGTGATGAAGGATGACTGAACCAGCCCCAGAGTGTAAAAGGTGTACCCATGAAACTGTATCAGCCACCTAGCCCTGCTGCATTTATACCAGAAAGACAATCGGTCAGCCAGCCACTGGGATAATCCTGCAAACTTTAATCCAGTCTGTTACTTTCAGCAGCTGCTTCTTGTGTCACAGATGCCAGGGACTCAATTCCCACCCAGTTGCCACACTCCAGTAAATGTAGCGCAGTTTCCTTTTTTAAATACTAAACTAGTTCACGGTGATTTGTTTGAAGTAGGAGGCACTGAGCAGACTCACATCAGTCTGATTTCCCTTACCGAATTTTAAATCACGGTCTTGTGTAGCCTTTCCGAACACAAGACTAACGGATAATATTTAAAGCCTGTTGTACAGTATTAATTGAGTAAGATTGTATCTTAAGTCACTTGCACATATTGATCACATGTGACTTATTTAATTGGTGCTGAAGTCAGTCTGAAAAGGTCTGTACCTTACCTTATTCTCCTTTCTTTTGGAAGTTAAATGAGTTCTCATCCGGTCGTTATAGCATCATTTTGACGTTTGGCCCGCCTCTTCTTAATACAGCTGGTTTCCATGGGGATGCCTATTAAGGTAGTGGCAGTAACCAGGGGGTGAGAGAGAAGCTAGTGGAACTAATGGGATGGACATAGTGATGGACAAGTAGGTATGGAAGCACATCAACCAGTGATAGTGGTTCAACATGAGCAAAAGAAAAACAGGAATAAACAGGATGCCATTAACCAGTGGACAACAGTGAAGGTGGGAGGCACAGCAGCAGCAAAGGTAGTTGAAGGCTGCAGTTACTGTTTGGAGTCATTTGTGTACTGGTAGGGAACCCAAAAGCTGCAGTGGCACCATGGGAACACTGGCCAGCAGGTACAGCTCACAAAGTGCTCATCCCTTGGCATGATTATGCTTAAGACTGACAAGAGTCAGGTGCCATGATTAAGCCCATGAATTTAAATTTTCATGGATTTAATAAATTGTACTTGTTGATTCTGCATTATAATTGTTCTGTGTTATACTTGTTTATGCACATTATATGTATGTGAAAGCTCTGCTAATTAATTAACGGCAATTCAGCTTTAATTAAAGCACAGTATTTTGGCAGAAGTAATGAACAGCAAGGGAATAGGAAGTCTTTTAGCAAGTGTCAGTTAGGCCATTAGTTCTGAAGTAGGTTTCATGTTGACAGTTGGCCCCAATTGATCTGTTGTACTTTGAACCTCTTGACACACCAGGGAAGATTGCAAAGATGTCTGCAGACTCATTAATGTGACAATCAACTGTAATTGAAAGGGAATGAACAGTCCAGTGTTAAATATTTGTCAACTGATTCATTTTAAAGGTGCATATGGCTGAATTATTTATTTCAGAGAAATGTATTTATAGCTGGAAAGATCAATATATTTTCTAGTGGTGCTCAAACTATAAAGGACATGGTAAAACAATGTAGAGGCAGCCACAGAGAAGGTCTTACATTTTTATGTGTTAAGGGTCCAGCTTCAGGAGTGCAGACAAGTCACTTATTCACTAAGAAGGTCCCTATTCAAGCTTCTCAAGTCAGACTGGCTTGTATAAGCTCAGACATTTTACAGTGCCCAGCTTTCACATTTTTCATGTAATCAGTACATGTATGCTTTGGAAACAGCATTTGCTAAATAAGTGAAGTGTAAAAATGTAACAGTAAGTGTGAATGTATTTGTTCTTATGTCCTCTTGCTTGTTAACATGCTCCATATGACTGCAAACAAATCTGGTTCTGCTGGAGATTATTGTGTGGATGTAGTCGTCAATCGGAGCTGCTTACCGATTTATGCATTTTCTTTAGATGATAGCCAGGGGGAAAAACGCTTCAGACCTCTTCCCGGCAGTGGTGAAGAATGTGGCCTGTAAGAATATCGAGGTGAGCTCTTGAGCAGGACTGCCCTATTTCGCATGCCTGTTTCCTGCCAAATTATTAGTGACTGAATGTAACACTTAAAATAATGCATTCTGCAGTTGGCCATTTTCCAGATACGATGACCTGTATATAGCACTATTTTGTTATGTCTTGGCAAAAATGTATAGATGCTATTTTTCCAAAATTATGACCATGTTTCACATTGGAAGAGATTAGGAAGTTTTACATTCCTCTTCAGGGTTGAACAGCCTTTTCTCCAATTTCTCTTTGTAACAAAAAGATAAAAATGATGATCTATCTGGTCTATGATTGCCTGGGTTTGTCCCTTTTGCTCCAGGTGAAGAAGCTGGTCTATGTGTATTTGGTCCGATATGCTGAGGAGCAACAGGACCTTGCACTGCTCTCTATCTCCACCTTCCAGAGGGGGTTAAAGGTCAGTCTCGCGAAGTTAAATAACCTTAAGAATGGGTTATATGTGGAATATTAGGTTACTGATCACATTTTGAATTAAACGGCTAGCAGATAAAACGAACAATCACGCACATTCCCAATTGTGATTTTTTCCAATATGTTGTGTTTGTAACTCGCTGAAGATTACAGGATATGGTAAATGACTTCCTGTGGCTTCCTCAGAGAGATTAGTGTAAAACTGGATGTTGGGCGATTTTTAGCTGTTTTCACCAAAGCAATTTTGTTCTTTGTGCACTGAGGGACTGAAAACAAAACCCTCGGAGACATCTGTGTACACAAGGGCCTCGTCATCACAGACGTTTGTCTCGCCTGATGCTCTGGATAGGACTTGTCGTCTCCCACAGAGACTTACCTGCATTTATATCTGCTCATTCCAGATCGCAAAGAGGACGTTCTAATGTCACTCCAGCTATTTTTAGCAATGACTCCAGGCTGTTGAACATTATTCAGATTGTACAGGCAGAGGTACAGAACAAATTTACACTTGGCTTTTGATCTCTGTCACAGAAAGGTGGTGTGTGGCTCTGAACCCGTGACCAGAAGGTCATGAGTTCAAATCCTGTGGCTGGCAGAGTGACTGCACTCTGGGGACAAGCGCATCGTTGGCAATGCAACATATTTTTCGTGTCTATTTCAGTTTATTTCTAACTTACATCTTTATGTAGAATTATGAAAAAAACGCTGATTAAATCTGCAATCTGTCTTCTTTTCAAAACGTCCATTGTCGGAAGTATTAAAGTTTTTAAATTAGGTTAAATCGGCAAAAAAAGTAAACCATGTCACATTTCTTTGTTTTACCTGCATCGGGGGCGTGTAGTGCCACCCTCACCTTGAAGATCGCCATTCGTATACTAAATAGCCGCTTTACCGCGTATTCAAATCGCATTCGCATGGTAATTTGATGAACAACACAACGGTGAAACGTGATCCAGATACATCCCCATCAGCACCATAAAAGGGGGGTAGGGACGTGGCCAGGTGTCAATGGCTCATTCATACACATGAGAGCTCCTACATATTCATTGGAAGGAGGCCAGAAATAGTGACATGAGTTAGGTTTTTCTTATTTATTTATCCAAATGAATGTTGCAACTACACCATTTAGCCATCTTCATGTAGCCAAGACTTTGGTGATCAGATATCTGGGATCAAAACAAACTGGCACCATTGTTTACTATGTACTTTTATAATGTTTCTGCAAGTGTTCCAAACTGCATTTTGCAATGTCTATACTTTGATGTCAGATTACAAACTTAACATAAATCTGACATATTTACAATATACATTAAAGATACATTTAAGATGAGCGTAATGGCAAAACAAATATATAAGAAATACTTTATTTGCCATGAATTAAGTTTATGATATTGAAAGAAATGTGTGATCCTGCCCCAGTCAGTGAGTGTGTGTTCCCTACCCCAGGTTCCCAGAGGGTTAATGTAAGACCTAAAGTCAAATTAAATAATGTCAGTAACAATCCGTTTCAAAATGTTTAGGTTCATCATAATTGTACCTTGATTGATGTACGTCATGAAGCATCAAGAATGATTTGTGCATAAATTTAAGTTGTGTATGTTTTGTATGAATATCTTTGCTGTTTTGTGTGGTAAAGAAAATAACTAGAAACCCAGTAAAACAAGAGTAACTGTTGGTTTTATTATGTTGGTATAAAAATATAGAAATGAATAAATGAAAATGTTCAGCCTTGAACAGCCACAACAGCAATTTCAGGGATGAATCCCTGATGCCGTATTGATGTGGGCGCGTTACCAGCGGCATGCCTGCCTGTTCTGTCTCCAGGACCCGAACCAGCTGATCCGAGCCAGCGCTCTGCGGGTCCTCTCCAGCATCAGGGTCACCATCATTGTGCCCATCATGATGCTGGCCATCAGGGAGGCTGCATCGGACATGTCGCCCTATGTACGCAAGACCGCCGCCCACGCCATCCCCAAGCTCTACAGGTACCAATCATGCGCACATTCCTTTCACATTTGTACGGGCCCCGCCCCTCCCCTCCCCTCAGTGAATTATACTGGTATAGCATTGTGTTTTCAGCTTACGTTACGTTAGTCTCTGCTGTCCCAGTGAGGCACCCGTGCCAGCATGTCAGCTGAATAAAGAATCTGGATGACAACCAGGCGTGTGTGTGTAATCCATAGAGCATGTGAGAGTAATTATTTATCATTGGTTTGACTTATTTCTGGTTTGAGATTATCTAATATTTATTTGCAGACATATTTTATACAATTTCACAAAAATGTGTTGCTAATGATTCACAAACCCACTATAGTTTTGCTGCAGACCACTGTCTTAAAGACTGCATGCTCCAGCCCAATGCTGATAACAGTTTTACACAATTTGCTTTAGGAATCTTCAGCGGACAGGGGTAGACCTATTTGTGTGTGTGCGTGTGTGCATGTGTGTGTGTGTGTGTGTGTGTGTGTGTGTATGCACACACTGCCATGTCATCACAGAACAGACCCATCTGGCTGGGGCCTGATATTCCATGCACACCTGATACTCCTTGCTCTCGCTTTGCTCTCTTAACTCATCTTCTTAAACTGTTTCCCTCCTTGTTCTCACCATGTTTAGCTTAGACCCAGACCAGAAAGACCAGTTGATCGAAGTCATCGAGAAACTCCTCGCTGACAAAACTACGGTAAGGACATCTTCTGATCCAAACGCTCTGCCATATTTATGGCCGATGTCTAATTCAGACTATCTCAGCCGGGTCCTTGGGGACCCACAGGCAGCCCAGCTGGGAGGGAGCAAAAACGGGGGCTGTCTGGGGAGAAACACTGATCTAATTAATATTTGGTGATTTTATGAACGTTGAGTCACTGTTTGTCAGATTTATATCAACTTTTTGAGATATTTGATTATTTGTCTTTTGGTGTAGTGTGTTTTTGTGGATGTATTTCTGTAGCTGTGTCCTCCTAATGTAAGCCTATATTAGCTATCTTTGGGATATAGCCTTTGAAATTGCACATATGTGATAAGTACATATTTAATATAAAGAGAAATCATTTCACGCTCATTAAACCCATTGAGATGGGTAATTTTTTGGCACTTTTTTTGCTGACTGCAATCATCGAACAGGAACCAAGGGCCGGCGGTGTCCTGGCTCAGTGGATACCGCCATCACCTCACGCCCCGGCGTGTGAGCTTCCATGCCTGCCCCTCCTCCTGTGTGTATAGAGTTTGCGTGTTCCTGCTGGGTTTCTTCCTGCAGTACAACGACGTGCATGTGTGTGGTGTTTCTAAGCTGCTGTTTGCCTGCTCTGCAGTGGACTGCTATTTCATCCGGGGTGTTTTTTATTGTGTCATGTGATGCCTGGAATAGACACCACCACAGAGCTGTACTGGAGTAGGGTGTAAGATGGATGAAGGACGCTGTATTTTGTCACATTGGAATGATTGTGTTACTTTTTATTCACATTTATTGTAACTGATGCAGTTATACAGAAAATATGTGAACAAGGCAAAAATGTATAATAACTTACTCAACATATTATGTATTCAAAACTGCACAATAATATTAATAAACAGAAAAGTAAATCAACTAAATCCACGAACAAAATTATCAGTTGACTTTCATATCTGATATTTTAATCCTTCTGCGTACTTTGGTTTCATTATATTCAAATGTAGTAACACGTAAATGTAATCTTTTAAGCATTGCCGTTCTGATATGTTTGAGTTTTGCCTGGAGGTGAAAGGTCAGGCTGCTTATCGTCCCTCTCTGTGCCCCCAGCTGGTGGCGGGGAGCGTGGTGATGGCATTCGAGGAGGTCTGTCCTGAGCGCATAGACCTCATCCACAAGAACTACCGCAAGCTCTGCAACCTGCTGATCGATGTGGAGGAATGGGGCCAAGTGGTGATCATCAACATGCTCACACGTTACGCCCGCACGCAGTTCCTCAACCCCAACGCCAACGTGAGTGTGCCCACCTTCCCACTGTGCCCACCCAGAGGGGATTGCCCCCGTAATCTCATCCCCTCTCTGAGCAGGAGTCCCTGTTGGAGGAGGGCACGGAGAAGGCCTTCTACGGCTCCGACGAAGACGAGGGGAAGGAGGAGAAGGTGGAAGCTGCCGCCCTGGTGGCCAAGAGGAAGCCCTACGTGATGGATCCCGACCACAGGCTGTTGCTACGCAACACCAAGCCCCTTCTGCAGAGCCGTAATGCAGCCGTGAGTGCCGCCTGAACCTGGTCTGAAGGAGTACCAGCTCCAGACAAGCTTCATCCTTTTACCATCCATCCCCAGGTGGTGATGGCTGTGGCCCAGCTGTACTTCCACTTGGCCCCCAAAGCAGAAGTTGGGGTCATCGCCAAGGCGCTGGTTCGCCTCATGAGGAGCCACAGGTAGGTGCTGTGAGGGACTTTAGGTCTTTTCATTTCATAAGAATGAAAAGCCACCTATTACCTTTCCCTTCCCAGCTATCGGCCAGCTTGCTGCTCTCTTACTGGTCCGCAGAATGTTCTAGGGGGGCTTGCTGAGTTTTCCTTCCTCATGTGGTTGTGAAGTCCTGTAAGTGTGAATGAGGGACTGATGTTAAAGCAGAAACTCTTCTGCAACAAACAATTTCACAGTCAATGTACTGAAATATAGGAGCAGCAGCCAGCAGTAAATCATGCAACAGCTTTGTTAAATTTGCTTTTCATGGACTCCTGCATTGTTTGGTATGTTTACTAGTCACTGGTGCATATTCTGTCGAATTTATTCAGTCCAGTGAAGGAGCTTTGTAGTAAAGCAGACCGTCACCCCTAAATGAAGCGAGATTACTGAATGCTATACTTATCCGACAGCGAAGTCCAGTACGTCGTGTTGCAGAATGTGGCAACCATGTCCATCAAGCGAAGAGTAAGTAGAATATTCATTTATGAGCAATTGATTTACACGCTCAGGCTCTTAGGAGAATTCATTTTGAAACAAAAAAATACTGTGAATGTACTTATCAAGTTGCCGTTGAATTGACTTTTCGAGTGAGACTTTTGTAGTTATGTTATAAAAGTGAAGTTGACTTCCATATATAAAAGAAAATGTGTGTGTCTCTCTTTTCAAAGGGGATGTTTGAACCCTATCTGAAGAGCTTCTATATCCGGTCCACAGACCCAACCCAGATCAAGGTCCTCAAGGTAATTGCAGGTGTATTGTAGATTGTGCTGAGATACATTGGTACCAGTGAGTTATTCATAGGGCCCATTAGTGACACCCTCAGTAGCCAAATGTATTCAGGTGCCACCACTGTAAATTAGAAAATCGGGCCCCCTTACCCTGTTAAATTATAGGTGGATGGATGGATGGATGGATTTCCTTACACATGATGACCTGACTTATTTGTTGTATTTGCAGTTAGAAGTTTTGACCAACCTGGCAAATGAAACCAACATATCCACTATTCTGAGAGAATTTCAGGTTTGGCATATTATTTAGAAATATTTCTAGAATTTCGGTTTCTTTTTCAGACTATGTAACAACACATTCGTTCATGATGTTTTTACCTAGTTATATTTGTTTAAAAACCTTTAAGTAGATTACGTGTCATTTTCATATCCTGTATGCACATGCATGCTCTGTGTAATGTCCCGCATTGATTCCTCCGGTTGTAGACTTATATTAAAAGCATGGACAAAGACTTTGTCGCTGCCACCATCCAAGCGATTGGCCGCTGTGCCACCAGCATTGGGGAGGTTAGGGACACCTGTCTCAACGGGCTGGTTCAGCTGCTGTCCAACCGGGATGGTGAGTTTTCCTGGCCAAGTTCTCCAAGCCTCCCAGCGGAATGACATGATATGGACTGTCATCCCTTCTGCGCTCCATTGTCACAGAGCTGGTGGTGGCCGAGTCAGTTGTGGTGATTAAGAAGCTTCTGCAGATGCAGCCTGAGAGGCACAGCGACATCATCAAGCACATGGCCAAGCTGACGGACAACATCCAGGTAAGGCGGCTGGGTCTCCCTGCTCGGCTCAGCCAGTGAGCTCTGAAGCGAGTGAGCTCGAGGCCAGCAGGACATTGAGCAGTGGGGAGAAGGACCCACCTTTGTTTGCGGGTCTCTGAGTCAGAGATCCATGCGCTTAGCGTATGTGTATGACTGTGACGCTAACTCCTGACCATATAATGGTTTTAATTAAACGAGAGAATAAAACCATAATACAGACACCCTACAGTTTCCCAGGGCCGGAGGTGGCCGCCCATTAAAGGGTCTCAGCTGAAACTGACTTCCGTTAATTAGGCCACTGAGTTCATCCCAGGGTTTCCAGTCGGAATCCTCACCAGTCGCACACCTTCTCCCCGGTGTCCAGGTCCCCATGGCCCGAGCCAGTATCCTGTGGCTCATCGGTGAGTACTGCGAGCACATCCCGAAAATCGCTCCCGATGTGCTGAGGAAGATGGCCAAGTCCTTCACCAATGAGGAGGATATTGTCAAGCTGCAGGTCCTCAATCTGGCTGCCAAGCTCTACCTGACCAACTCCAAGCAGGTGAATGAGACGGTGACCTAAGGAGACTTTGACTTTGGGTTTAAATAGTGGTTTGTATTGTGGTTTAAAAAGAGTGAAAAACATCCATGTTTGGATAGGTAGCAGAGAGAAACACACAGGGGGAAAGCAGATTATTCTAGATCCTCATCAAGGAAAGGTTGTGTTGAAGCAGCCATATGGTCTAAATCAAACCCGTGGAACGTGCTGGAATCCAGCGAGACAGGTGGAGGGGTTGTTTGTCTGTTTTTACAGCCTCTCTCTCCTCAGTTCCGCTTGGTTGCCATTCTGTGCAGCCCTGTCGCAGATGGCCCTTACCAATTTGCCTCTCAAATGCTAGCATCCTGCAAAGGCAGGGTAAACCTTCTGTGTAATTAGCCAGAGTGCTCTGTGACTTTAATGTGCCGAGTGCACTTTATGATCAAGGGCCTCGTGTACGGCAGAGCTGACTTCCGTCAGCATCTCTGCGATAAATCTGTTTTTATTTTAAATGCAAAATTGAACAGGCTGCACAACAACCTGTCTGTGTCCCAGAGAATGACACAGCAGGTGACCTTCAGCTGTTTTCAACATTAAAGCCTCATGCTTTGTTCTTCCATGAAGGCCCTGCGTAGAGCTGTCTATGGTCCTGAAATTGAGACTCTCAGCCATAATAGGCCCTCGTAAAACAGCAGCACATTATTTTCACAGTTGAGCAGTGATGTCAACTTCAGGGGTGAGGATAATTAGTATGAAAATGCCAGGGTGTGGCGATCAAAGCAGGGGGATGCAGTGAGGTATTTGCCTTTAATCTCGCGGCACAATCTGGCGCTCTGGGCATGTAATCTGCAGCCTGCATTTTCTCTGGATGGGCCTCATTTGTCATTGTGGACATGTCCATGGAAAACCAGGGGTGAATCCATGCATACATACACAGGCATGAACATACACACACACACACACACACATACACACGTGTGTATTCATATATTTATCAGGATTCTTTGTTCATTTCTATGGGAAAAACCCTTACTGTATCACAACAATGACAGCTTTAATCCCTACCCAGCCCTAACCTTAACCATGAGGAACCAAACAATACAAGACTTCTGGCATTTTTAGTTTTTTGATCACATTCACAGATTTTTATTAAATTGAGTTTCCTCTTGTGGGGATTGAAAAATGGTCCCTGCAATGTCAAAATAACAGGTTTTTATAACATAAATGTCCCCACAATGTAATATATATATAGCTGACATGCACACGCACACACACACACACACACACACACACACACACACACACAGCCACTGCCACCTCTTACCAGTAAATCTGCTCCCCTCAGTGTTTTTCTATAGTATTCCTCCTTCCTGTGTACCATACAGACCAAGCTGCTGACTCAGTACGTGCTCAACCTGGCCAAGTATGACCAGAACTATGATATCCGAGACCGGGCTCGCTTCATCCGGCAGCTCATCGTGCCCACTGACAAGAGTGGCGCGCTCAGCAAGTACGCCAAGAAGCTGTTCTTGGCGCTCAAGCCAGCCCCTGTGCTGGAGTCTCCCTTCAAAGGTAGGGCAGGAACGCCCCTCTCAAGTCCCCCATACCGCAGTAATTCCCACACTTGGCGTCTTAGCATTTAGCTTTATCCTCTCATAATGTGGGTGCGCCTGACACGTGCAGGGTTGGTAGGTCGGGTTCCGCTTTGCGTGTGGGGCTTGTATGTTCTCCTCATATGGACCGGCTGCATCCAGGTTCACCGTAGCCCTGTGTTGTATAAGCAGGTACAGAATGGATGAGCATCACTGGTTGCTGTCCCCTTTAATGCCTTGCCGTTGTGTGCACTCTCCCTTATTGGTAGAGGATCCTTGTTGGCTTATAGGTCTAAGTAAGGTGGCTTCTTCAATTGGCTTTTTATAGGGTTAGGGCTACAGGCTTTGCTGTGGTCTTTTACCACATATATACATTTATATATCAGCGTACCTGAGGGTTAATAGTTACAAATCACGGGCCTTTCTTGTTGAAAAGCATCTCATCGATTGACGTGAGATCTGACCTCATAAATATAAATTTTTTATGTACCTTTTGGTTATAAGAGCTATAAGAATAAGGAGAACAGCTGTATAACCGTATAGAGATGATGGCACAGAGGCCATGCACATACTGTGTGTTTGTTTAGTGCTGTTTAGCTAGCCTTAAGTCTTTAAAGTCTGTGTACTGAGCGCACATGTCATATGGACATAAGGAAGTTCCTATTATTAGAAAACAAAATTTCAGCTCATTTCCTGTGAACTGAAGAAGATGCCAGATGAGCTGACGCTCACCGGAGCACAGGTGGCTTACCATGTCAGCGAGAAGGTGATACAGGCTAAAGGAGCAAGAGCGAGGGAAGAGTGACGAGATTCAGGCCAGGCTACGGAGCCCCACCCCCTCAAGGCCCCTCCTGCTAGCAAACGCCCGGTTGCTAATCAGAAAGATCATTGAATTCCAGCTGAGAATTTCTTTGCACAAAACGATTTTCACAGTGAGGTGACAGTAAACAGCAACATCCCGGATGTTGTTATTGAGCTGGCACACTACTTGGCTTACATCGCTGATACAATGGTTTACTTCATCAAAAGCAAAGGAGGGGGAGTGTGCACTCATATAAGCTAGGTTCTCGTTAGCCGTTCGCCACGTCTCCACCGGCGATCAAAAAGCCAGTGTGGTGAGTTTATTTCTCATCATTTCAGTCCCAACCATAGCGGTTGTCGGTTCCCAACCTGATGGGTCATTTGTGAACGAGACGGCTCTAAGAGTTTGTTTTTTTTGTTTATTGATATTCCATATGTTTTTCTGAGCCACTTTATGCTGAAGACTGTGACTCCAGCAAAACACAATAGATCAGGAATTGGCTAATGAATGTCAGCGATTTCCAGCCTTTTCATGTTGCGGAGGATAAGGGAGTATATTTTATTACTCTTTTTATGCCTCACATTGAGTCGAATTGCATTTTCAGTTTCATGTCCAAGTGACAATGACAATAAAGATTATCTTTATTCAGAAATACAGCCATGCTCATAATCCAGTGCACTGTATGTTATTCTAAGCAGGAAAGCATGCTCTTAATCAGTCCACGACTATGATAAAGATCATACAGGCGTCACTGAGAGAAAGGGTTCAAAAAGCTTCAGTAGTTTGTCTGACATCATGATTCATACCGATAAGCAGAGACAGCACTCAGCATGCCGATGCTATAGGGCAGGTCGGCGTGCTACAGAGGGCGATTACGGGCCACAGGCTGCCGGATATTAAATTTCAGTCCATGCATTCTAGGTTTGATATAAACCTGTTCATGCTATATGTGGTTTCTAGGTTAATTAAGAACTAAAGGATGCATTGGTAGAATTTGTGTGCAAGGAAGAATAAAATACGCACCAAAATGCATGATGCCAATGGAAACATTGCTAGACAATGTCAGGCTTCTTGTCTACAGAGACAGTATCACAGCTACACAAATTTGACCTTTTTGTGTCTGTAGAAGCAGTCCTGCTTTCAGTGTGAGAATGATTTCATGGCTAACACGTTTTATGCCTGGCTAAGAAACCAGTACTGTTAGCCACAGTGGCTGAAACCTTTGAAGAGCTAAAGAGAGCCCTGCATGAGCAGTGCCTTGTGTACCAGCACTGCCAAGAATCACTGTTCTCCCAACTTGCCTCATGTTTAAAGGCAGGCTGTTGTAGTATCCTGACCCAGTGTGTAAAAGGGTGTTACGCCCATGGCTGGGCCGCTCTTCAAAAAGCCCTTCAGCAAGTCACTAAGTCAGCCGGGCATATCCTTGGTCTACAGCTGCCAGACATTAAGGGCATCTACAGCAACAGCAGCCTCTGGAGGGCTCTTAGTGCCTCTTATACCCAGCCACTCTGCGCTCACTATACTGCCATCTGCTGAGAGATATGGGAGCCTGCCTGGCCGCTCACCCAGACTCAGGAATAGCCTCTTATGAAGCCTGCCTCCCTGCACTAGCTTCCTCCCACTGTGCATTAATATAATAATAATAATATAATACTAATAGTAATAATAATAGCTGACTTAATAGGAGTGTATTTTTGAATGAGCCATTACTGTAAATGCAGTGAAATATCAGCATTTTGTGTTTTGGCCATATGGATCATGGATAAACCTCGGTAGAGTGTAATTAAGTGCTTTGAAATTGCCAGAAAGCCTAATGATTTGTTATAGACTGAAATGGCTGGAGCAGCTGGCTAAGCGGAGTGTTGTTCCTGTGTGTCGCTGTTGTAGACCGGGATCACTTCCAGCTGGGCTCGCTCTCCCACCTGCTGAACGCCAAGGCCGGCGGTTACCAGGAGCTGCCCGACTGGCCCGAGGTGGCCCCAGATCCATCTGTGCGCAATGTGGAGGTAACGCTTATGGCCGTGTCCTCGGCCACGCTCGCCGACGTTCTCGGCACAGTCCTGTGGGAGCTCTGTCTGTGTCCAACCTCAATTCCTGTCTCACCAACCCCATACGGAAGCACCCCTTGACACCTGCATCATATTCTGTTCACCTCCATGCTTTTCTAGAACAGTACTGCCAAATACAAGTACCCATCCAGTAAGATTGTCTTCCCCCAGTTACATGCTGAGAAACATCTGCTCCTCAGAATAATGGCGCCCTGTTCTAGTCAAGGTTGTAGCTGAATGCACCTTATCTTTCGATTATCTTCCTACATGAAAGGAGGGAAGTGGTGTCCATGGAAACACGCAGAGATACTGTCATGTCTTTGAGGGCTGAGGCTACGCGGGTTGAATCGGCATGGCTTTTGAATCACACCAAGCTTTGCTCAAGATGCTGTGAAATTCCAGTCTGCTGGAATCCGCTTGGCCCTGTCATCTCCTTGCATTTGAAGAGTGTGCATCAGGAGACCACGCCCTGTCCTGTGCTCTGTAGGACAAAGCCCCCAGAACCGTCCTCTCTGTAAACCTCACAGCCTTACAGAAACACTTTGTGAGTCAGACACGGGCCTGGTCTGCCACCTAGTCTGTGTTCATTGCGCTGTTTGTTCATCTCCATGTGTGATAAATCAAGATCCAAGATCGAATCAAAACTTTTGTTCAAATCCCCGGAATACCTGAAACCTTCTGGGTTGGCTTCTTCATTGGGTGTCTGAGGGTTTTGATTGGCTGATGCTCTGCAGGGTGCTTCCTCTCTCAGAGATTTCATCCCTCTCCTCCATTGTGGGTTGTCTCGTCCTGTAGACGATGCAGACTTTTCCCAGTGAGGCCAAGACAGGGCGGAGCGCTGTGTGTCTGATATGAAAGCCCCCTCCCCTCCCCTCCTCGACTCCCGCCTCCCCCCCTCCCCTCCACCACCCCCGTGTGTCATTCCTCTCTCGCTGACCGTCTCTCTCTTTGCCCTGGCCTGCAGCTACAGGAGGTCATTTCCACCAGCAGGGGGCGGATCGGCTCGCTAGGAGGCTGGCCAGAGGTGCCCCTTGGGATTGCTGTCTGATTCCTCCTCTTTACCTGTGGCCAGGGAGGCTCAGAACACAGACACATACAGAGCAGAAAACGCCTTTGGAAGTTAACTTTTTTAACAACTTAATAAATTCCATCACGTACATTCAAGGCTGTTAATGAATAAGTGGTCTCAGGAAAAAACAAGCCTTATTCAGAAAGTCAGATTTCTCTTAACCAACTGAATAATTATTAGGAAGGAATTTACCACAGGTATCTGTAGGTCAGGTTGTAAATGGAATATTGTTATTTAGTCTGAATGGGTTTTTACAGATATGATGAAATGATACTGTGAGATGTTTCATACATGTTTCTGACTTGCACTGACTAATGGTGTGAGTGGGTCTTGTGCTTTAGTACGTAAGAGCCGAGCTGCATGGAAACACGGCTGACTGCTGACTTGACTTGCAGATGTCCAGATGCACTGCTGCTGGTTTAGAATGGCTTTTATGTCCGTGTGTGTTCTCAGGCCACATAAGCGAGCTCGGTCCCCGAGCGTTTCGCACACTGCTGCTCTGATCACGTAGAATCACAGGACCCCGGGGTGTCTCTGCAGAAGCCGGCTGTACCGCTCTCATCTGGGGCATCTTGTGGCACAATAACAGGAAGAAACTTCTTAGTATTGAAAGTTGAAAGTCTCCCAGCCGCTGCACTGTTTTCTGTGGTTGCAGTAAAGCTTGTGTGTGTTTCAGTAAAGAGGTCCACGCTAGTGAGCCCGCCTGGTAATTACATGGGCCGGCGGGACCGCCAGACAAACCCCCCCACCCCCCGTCCTTTGTACCGTGCACTTCTCTGTACTGTCTTTTCTTTGACTATTCATTTCAATTCCATGCCATTCTTTTCTTTCCCATCTGGCAGGTTATTATGCTGCTCGAAAGAGTCACAGCCTTAACCAGAGTGAGTCAGTCAGTGGCACAGCACAGGGCAGCAGTCACTGCAGCTCCTTCCCACCCTACGCAGTACTTACTGCAGAACTCCGCCTTCGTGCTTAATTTGCCAAAAGCTATTTCCTTGAAAGTATTTAGTGTTCTCTTACCTTATTGCCCTTGTCTTTCTTTTCAAATTACGTATCAATTTCATTGTTTTGTGGACAACAAGCCATTTTGAGAAGTGGCTATATAGTTCTGTATGTCCACATACGGCAATCTTTGGTTTTAATGTGTGGTTTGTTTGGCTTGCTCTATTTATATACGCGCACATTTTTTTCTGTTAACTAGAGAACTTTAAGTACTTTTCAATGATGACCCATGTCTCCGCTGGAGCTCTCCTGGTAAAATACTCAGAATTGGCCATGAGGGTGACACCTGGTTCTCATTTTTATGCTGCTTGTGTCCCTGAACTCTGAATGAACATCACTCAGATTGCTGGATCCATTAGATCTGTATCGCTAAAAAGAAGAACCAATCAATTTAAAGACCTGTTACGTTATTCTTCACAGGTGCATCCTGGTCCATTTTGGTAACCCTGAGTCAGACTCTCATGGCCACTTATTTAGAAATGCTTTTAGCCTTACTATTGTCATCTCATTATTATTATTATCATTATTATTATTATTCTCTCCATCCATCCATCCATCTTCCAAGCGCTTATCCTGACAGGGTCACGGGGCGGGGGGGGGGGGGGGGGGGGGGCTGTGCTAGGCTGCATAGCTGACAGAAAAAGGCCGTGGAGATTGCAGGTGCTGACCACATCTGCACTGCCTGCAGGTTCCTGAGTGGACCAAGTGCAGCAGCCGTGAGAAGAGAAAGGAGAAGAAGGTGGAAAAGCCCTTCTACTCGGACTCAGAGGGAGAGTCCGGACCCACAGAGTCGGCAGACAGCGGTAACTGAGGCCATTGTTCCATAGCGACAGCAGAGTCTGCCATGTTCTGCTGGCCTCAGATATCACATAGCTGCTTGTGTTTTGGGATTTTTCTGTTTTTTATTTTGTGTTTTATTTGCCATATTCAGCACCTCTTTCTTAACATCATAAGCATGTTGCTTTAACCTGCATGCGCTGTGAGCCCTTCGCAGTACAAGGTCACGAGCAGGGGTGATGCGTGGGGTGGGGGCTGGGGGCGCAGTTGTGTCTGTGTGTGTCCCAGCCTCCGCTCTCCCCTCCAGACTCGGACACGGGCAGTGGGACTGGCAGCGGCAGCGAGGAGAGCGGCTCAGAGTCGGGCAGCGAGGAGAGCGAGGGCGAGTCGGAGTCAGACAAGGAGGAGGAGGAGGAGAAACACAAGAGGAAGAGTAAGAGCAGAGCCAAGAAGAGCACACAGGAAAGCGAGGGAAGGTAATGACTGGCTAAGAAGCAAGCAGTCAGCAAAGAATGAATATTAATATAGAATATCGCATTCTCACGGTGAGGCTTGCAGTTCATTTACAGTATAAACTGTAATAATTCTTTTTCTCAATTCATATAATTAGTATTTCTGCTTTTTTCGTGTTGATTAACTATGGGGAGCAACGTGAGCCGGTTTAAGTACATGGCCACGGCTGAGTTCCCAGCTTGTCTGCTAGTAGTCACTCTGTCTGGGGAGATGGCTGCAGCTCACAGACGGCACCTTCTCCCTGGCAGCGAGCCCAGCAGCGAGGATGAGAGGAAGAAACCGCCAAAGGGCAAAGGGCCCAAGGCTGCGTCAGACTCCGAGTCGGAGGAGGAGGAAGAGGAGGAGGAGAGCTCCTCGGAGAGCAGCGAGAGCGAGTCCGAGGGGGAGTCGGAGTCTGACACAGACACCAGGATGAAGCAGAAGGTGGGGGAAGCTCAGCTTGCGGAGGCAGCAAACACAGCCAGATACCTTCAAAAACCACCAGCGCAGTGACGGTCTATGTTAGCATCACCCTGTTTGACCTGCTAGAACAGGAACTGCCATTTATGAGACATAAAGCACTGAGAGACGTGTCAGTGACGAGGTGCCCTGTTCTCTGCATCACAGATGCTTACAGAGCCTTTTCAGGGATCTCTGTCCACTCTTTTCACAGACCTGTGCTTCCAAACCACCCCCAAGACAACCGAAGAAAGAGACGGAAATGTCTCTGCTTGATCTTGATGATTGTAAGTGTATCTATATAAAAACTAAAATTTTATCAAATTATAAATATTTTCATGTAAAAAAAAATTAATGAATTGAAATGTACATGAACATGGAGTACATATTGTCTAAATCAAGATTCCAAGATATTTGCATTAATATTTATACATATTAATTAAACAAAATGAATTAAAAAGACACACTTGAGAATCTGCATTATTTGTGACCAGTGTTAAGTGTCATTTCTGGCCGTTGCCCTGACAACCCTCTGCCTCTGTGTCACTGTCACTGTACAGTCGAACCCACACCATCCCCACAGGTGACCCCTGTGAATAACTTCGTGTCCAGCAGTCTGGTGACAGATCTTGAGGGATTGTCCCTGTCGGATTCGGCACTGTCCCCGGCGGTAAGTAAGCTCAGCTACGCACCTGTAGACTTTCCGAGGACACTTTTGCCCGAAGCGACATACCAGTGAGGATCAAAGAGCAGGGTCAGTGTGTATCCCAGGCCCAAAGGCCATATGATCCCTCTATCGGCCACGGGCCTTTAACTTTCCACACAAGTGACACATCACAGAGCCGTTCCCCTACAGAGAACCAGAAACCTGGGATCCAGCTGCCCGGGACTTTACAGCTGCTTAGAGCTTATACAAGCTTTTTTTTCCCTAATAAACACTTACTAGCAGGAAAAAATACTTCTGTAGTCACTGTGAATTGATTTGAGTCAGTCCTGATTTAACTGTCCAGGCGGTAATTGATGTGCCTTCAGAGACGAAGTAGCAGAGACAGAATGACTAAGCACTTCTCAAAAAGATGCCGTTACTGGTCAGATAGGCCAGCATGCCACACTCCCCTCAGCAAAGTCTTTCATTTCATTAGCAAATACTTTGCCGTGTGGAAATGGCCATAAATTTTTTCTCAAAGTGAGGCTGGTGTGTATGAGAGAGGAAGCTGTTTTTGTCTTCCGCGTCCCAACAGGCCGTCAGCCCTGCGTCGGGCCCAGTGAAGAGCTACGAGCTACTGCACCGCATCACGGGCGAGGGCCTCTCTGTCAGCTACTGCTTCAGCCGACAGCCCTTCAGCCATGATCCCCACATGGTCTCCGTGCAGATGCAGTTCACCAACAACGGCGACACGGAGGCACGCAACCTACGCATCCAGGAGCCCAAGCTGCAGTCTGGAATGCGCATCGCAGAGTTCCCAGAGATCGGTCAGGAATGGCAGCCCTGTCCCTTTATACCACACCTGTGTTTCTGTACAGATACACTGTATAGACAAAAGTATTGGGACACACCTCTCAATTCAGACCCATTGCCACAGGTGTATAAAATTAAGCACCTAGCCATGCAGTCAGATTTACAAACATTTGTGAAAGAATGAGTTGTTCTGAAGAGCTCAGTTAATTCAAGAATGCCAGCTTTGCAATAAGTCAGTTTGTGATTTTTTTCCCTGCTAGATATTTCACGGTCAACTGTAAGTGGTATTATTGCAAAGCAGAAGCATTTAGGAACAACAGAAACTCAGCCACAAAGTGGCAGAGACAATGTAAAGTAACAGAGCGCGGTCACCAAGTGCTGAGGTGCATGGTGTGTAAAAGTCACCAATGCTCTGTCGACTCAATAACTGCAGAGTTCCAAACTTCCTCTGGCATTAACTCCAGCACAAAAACTGTGCACCGGGAGCTTCATGGAATGGGCTTCCATGGCCAAGCAGCTGCATGCAAGCCTCACATCACCAAGCGCAATGCCAAGCATCAGATGGAGGGGTGTAAAGCACGCCGCCACTGAACTCTGGAGCAGTGGAAAAGTGTTCTGTGGAGTGACAAATCAGGATTCTTTGTCTGGTGGTCTTCTTTGTCTGATGGATGAGTCTGGGTTTGGTGAATGGTAGGAGAACAATACCTGTCTGACTACATTGTGCCAACTGTAAAGCTTGGTGGACGAGGGATTATGGTATGAGGTTGTTTCTCAGGAGTTGGGCTAGTCCCCTTAGTTCCAGTGTAGGGAACTCTTAATACTTCAGCATACAAAGACATTTTCAGTGCTATGGTTCCAACTTTGTGGGTACAGTTTGAGGAAGGCCCTTTTCTGTTCCAGTATAACTGTACCCCAATGCACAAAGCAAAGTTCTACACAGACATGGTTGGATGATTTTGGTGTGGAAGAACTTGACTGGCCCATGCAGAGCCCTGAGCTCAACCCCATCAAATACCTTTGGGATGAACTAGAATGGAGATTGTGAGTCAGGCCTTCACATCCAACATCAGTGACTGACCTCACAAATGCTCTTTTTGATGAATGGGCAAAAATACCCACAGACACACCCCAAAATCTTGTGGAAAGCCTCCCCAGAAGAGTGGCAGCTGTTACAGCTGTAAAGCTGTATTGATGCCTATGGATTTAGAATGGGATGCCGTGTCCTGTGGGTCAGGCCAGGTGTCCCAATACTTTTGTCTACATAGTGTATTTTCCAAATGAGATTCACAGGCCCTGGTTAATGTATTCTGTAATTATAGAAATATGATAATCCTGAGAGACCTTGACATACCTTAAACGGGCACATGATTGAAGGCCTTTAAGACCTTCTCTGAAGTTGCCTCCTATGTGTCTTCAGATGTGTTGCCTCCAGGTGAGACAGTCACCATGGTTATGGGGATCGATTTCTCTGATTCCACACAGGCCGCCAACTTCCAGCTCTGGTAAGTGCACACTGCCCTCCGTCCATGGCGTGCTGCACGCAGGAGCTTCACCATGTTTTATCAGTCGTGTGCGCTAAGTGCAGCAGATTACTACTCATTTAGCTAAACCCAAGTACAAACATCAACTGACAGTGTATACATAACTAATGAACACTAGACAGTGACCCTTAGAGGTGCAAGTGAGTCATGTATGTCTGGCAGTAAGGACACATGAGTGTGCACATCATATATGGTGCAACATTTATACTACAGTGATGGGCTCTGCACAGTGTGCATGTCTTGACTCAGCATTTGTTCCATGTCCTCTGTACTGCCCCACCAGCACCCACACCAGGAAGTTCTTCTTGACGATTCAGCCACCGGTGGGGGAGTTGATGATGCCAGTGTTCATGACAGAGAATGAGTTCAAGAAGGAGCAAGGTGAGAGCACCTTGGGGTGGGCGGAGACAATGGTGGAATGTGGGCGGAGCCAGGGGTGAAGACGTGGGAGCTGGTTATTGTGAACCTGCAGGCTGTGACAGGAAACACAGGGCAGGAGGCTGAGTCTGTCACAGAGCAATACACGCCATGTAGGAACAGCAATGACCCAGGGAAGCTGGTTTATGAGGGCTGAGACAATCAGGAGGGAAATTGCCATACAGCACAGCGACAGCACACAGTCAGAGCACAGTGCACCACACAGTGACAGCACACAGTCAGAGCACAGTGCACCACACAGTGACAGCACACAGTCAGAGCACAGTGCACCACACGGTGACAGCACACAGTCAGAGCACAGTGCACCACACAGAGACAGCACACAGTCAGAGCACAGTGCACCACACGGTGACAGCATGTAGCCAGAGCACTGTGCACCACACAGTGACAGCACACGACAACTGCATAGCCACAACACACAGTGACAGCAGGCGGCCAGAGCACAGGGACAGCACATAGTAACAGCAGGCGGCCAGAGCACAGGGACAGCACATAGTAACAGCACGCTACCAGAGCACGTCGACAGCATGCAACTGCACACGGTGACAGCACACGGCTAGAGCACAGTGACGCATACAGCAACAGCAACAGCACGCAACTGCACACGCCAACAGAACACAGAGACAACACGTAGCCATAGGAGAGCGACAGCACATAGCCAAACATGTTACAGTACATGCAGTTAAATGTTTTTCATCATTTTTATTGCATGGAAAAGCTATTTTTGACCTATGAAGAGCAACCAAAATAGACCATGGGTGAAAGAAACGTGCATGGTTGTTTATAGCAGAAGCAAACCCCTCAGAGTTTTCATCTATTCTTGGTATTTCAGCAAAAATAAGATGCCTTGGAGCCGATTCAAAAAACAAGTCACTGTTTTACACCTTTGTGGTGGGATTGTGTAACTTCTTTCCATTATGACCATCAAAGCCAGAGTAGAACAATTCACTGTATATTCAGATGTTATTTTCAATCCTTTAAGTTGCACAGTATTTAGAGCTTAGAGCTTAGCTGAGTAATTTAAAAAAATGAAAATTGCCCATTTTGTAAAAGCTTTTTATGGTTATATATTGTACAAGCAAAATATTTTCAAGTGAATGACAAAGTGATGTGTTTGGCTGAGTGTGGAGCAGGCCGCCGGATGCGATATCCTCAGGATGCCTCAGACAGCGGGAGCTGACTTAGTTACACAGTGGCGTGTCCTTAATCGCAGGCCAGCTGACGGGCATGAACGAGATCACAGAGAAGCTGACCCTGGGAGAGACGTGCCAGGGCGATGCGGCCATTGTGCAGAGGGTCACCTCTACAGCCAGCCTTAGCCGGGTGCCCTGTGGTTCAGAGATGAAGTGCAGGTGAGACACCGGCCTTCTGAGGTCTTGGGGGGCGGGGGAAAGCCTATCCTCCCTGTATCTGGTATCCAGTATCTGCAGCTACTTTGTGTACACAGCCATGTTGCTCCATGTGTGCTGAATTCAAACCCAGGAGACTTTTAGTCTGCAGAGCGCGTCTCTGTGACATGTGTTACACTGCTTTGGTTACCCAGCAGCTGGAGGATCAACGCCTTTATCCTTTGTAGTGTTTCCCAGCCCGGTCCTTGGGGACCCACAGACAGTCCACATTTTTGCTCCCTCCCAGACAGTCCACATTTTTGCTCCCTCCCAGACAGTCCACATCTTTGCTCCCTCCCAGCTCCCGGTAAAAGCTAAAACATGGACTGATGCGGGTCTCCGAGGACCAGGCTGGGAAAAACTGCTTCATAGTTGTAAACTTATTCTGTTCTTTTCATGTAATGATGTCCGACTAATGGTCGCATGCACTCTCTGCCTCCATTTTTGCTCTCCTTTCCAATCTTGACCTGATGTCAACCTCCTTCCTGTTCCCCCCCCCACCGCCGATATGCAGGTTCGCGGGTAAGACGGTGACCAGCGGCAGCCTGGTACTCGTTACGATTGTGACGAGAGAGCAGCTCGTGGCCCAGCTGACAGTCAACTGCGAGAAGATGCTGATTGGCACGATGCTGGTGAAGGACATCCTCCAGGCCCTTTCACAGTGACGGCCCTGACTGAGGGCCCCTCTCGTCTGCCCTCATCCTCACATCTTGCTCCCAAATCTCTGCGCCCAAACACCAAGCACCCGCCCCCCCCATTGGCAGCTCCCCCTGAGAACGGCTTCGCTTTGTGCCTGTGTGATCGCGTATGTCACTTCTTGTGCTTACTTTCATTCCTACATAAAAATGTTCCCATAAAAACAAATTATTTCCTTTTTTATTTATTATGAGACAAAAAAATGAATTCTATGGAAGACGGTAGAAAGCATGCTTCAGATAAGCACGAGGTTCCTTGAACTCGGACAACCAGCAGGGGAGATTTTAACATAATATTAAATAGATAGTACAGGGGTCAGTCTTACCCTTCAGGAGCCGTTAATTGTGTGGGTTTTCGCTGCAGGTCCCTAATTAGATCACTAATCAGAGGAGTGATTGGCTGATGAGTCCTCACACCTGGGTTTGTACAGTTGACCTAAAGGTCGTCCCAAAAACCTGCATACACACTCTCCCTTTGCGGGTAAGATTGGCCACCCCTGTACTAGAATGTACATAAATCTCACATTTTAATAATTATATTATTATTCTGCTGTTATACAAAACAGCACATGCAGGTGAAATTAAATTAGACTTATTGGCCAATTAAATTTAAACCCACAGAATAAATGAATACATATTTTCTTAAGTACAATGACTCAAATACAACTGTTCTATTGCATTATAAATCTCACCCAAAGTAGAATCACTTATTGCCTACAAATGTTTTCATGTGGTTAAAAAAATATCTGCATCTTGTACACAATATGCAGTATTATGTGACGGCTGAAAGGGGCCCTGTTTGCGCTGAGCGGGAGCCTGAATCGCTCATTGTGAGGCCAGCCTGAATGTAGCATGTGGACCAGTGCAAAACAGCCTCATGTAATCGCACTGTGTTTCTAAGCTCACACGGCTGATGCCTTTACTGGCCTCACATCGTTTAAGGAGCCCTTTTATGGCAAGCAGCTTCATTATGACCAATGTCACAATGTCTCTTTTCTTTCGATTGCCCTTATGGAAAATGCAGCATTTCAGTGTTTAATCCACTTTTAGCCCCTTTCTCAGCTCTGCGTCCACTAACTCGGTGCGTTTCAGCGGCAGGACCTTTCAGCGTGCCCCTCCCCTCACACGACCCTGTCTTCAGGGGCAGGACCTTTCAGCGTGCCCCTCCCCTCACACGACCCTGCCTTCAGGGGCAGGACCTTTCAGCGTGCCCCTCCCCTCACACGGCCCTGCCTTCAGGGGCAGGACCTTTCAGCGTGCCCCTCCCCTCACACGGCCCTGCCTTCAGGGGCAGGACCTTTCAGCGTGCCCCTCCCCTCACATAGCCCTTGCTTGACGCTTCACTCTCGTGGTTTTTTCCTTTCCTAACTGTTTTGGTCGTTCAGTGCAGTGCTGTCTCTATTTCCCTGCAATGACCTTGTACATTTTTTATCACCATTAATAACTGTATTAAAATAATAGATAAATACTAAATTCTATGTTCTTTAGAACAATTCTAAACAGGAAATTATGTCACATGCCTCTTTTTTTTAATACTACTTGTTTTATATGGTCTACAAACCCTAAATTGTATTGCCATGTTACATTGAATAATTCAAGACGATTCTGTTTCTTCGGAGCAAAGAGAATCCCGTTAGTTCAATTCCTGCAGTTTACAGTGACGCAGACTGTGATGCATCTTCTGCAGAGGCAACTAGGAGGGGACTGAGCCTGCTGTAGCAGCGTGGAGACATTACTCTGTCATGAAGATGTCTTCAAAAAGCTTTTGTGTGATTCAGTTACATGTAAGATTTGTAGGCTCAGTAAAAATCACAACCCTTTGAAATCTGAAATAAATGTACATTAGTGTAATTAGCTTAGCATCAGATTGTATAATATTTATTATTATTATTATTATCTGCTACTTGTGTTTTTTGTTATGCGCATTCTCATGTGGATGGAGTTTTTTTTCCCCAGGTGAGGAAATTGATGAGTTCCTCCTGAAAGAGTGAGAGTATATTGTGTCAGTAAACCCCTGCGTGATTGTGGAAAATGTGTCTGAGTACAGCTTTATGACGAAAAACCAGTATATTAATAAAAGGTGAATATGGACTGACCACCATCATTACAGTGATTGGGTAATATTATGGAATGTGCTCCATTACATTATTTAAAATTATATATAGTATATGATTGTTCTTTCTTCAGCCTTTGAGCTGTTTACTTATGATGTATCACCTGGAACACGTTACAAAACCATGAGCCAGCTACATGCGCCGGAACACTAATGTCATGGTTTAAAGGTGAGGCCATTATGCTTCCACAGTCTGATATTGAGAATGAAGGTCTGTGTAACCTCTCCAGAACACCACTGCAGGAATATAATGGAATCATGTAATGGAATTATCCCCCTAGACCTCAGACTGATTTAAACTCCACTTTCTGAAGTTTCTGTAGAAGATATCGTGCCGTCCCAAGATAGCAACTCCTGCTGAGGAACTTGCACAGAGGCACTCGGAACATTCCGGCAATGGTTCTTTATGTAGAACAGAGATGGGACACTACTGCTTATGACCGCCTGCTTTATCCAGGTGACACACCCGTCATGGTCACTTGATTGTCAGCTACCCTAAAGCTTCATAAATCAATCTGCAAATTGACTGCATTAGACAAAGCTGAGTCATTAGTCAGCTCATTTGCATTTTGAAATATTTACTTGGGAATTATAATTATTTTATTATTATTGTCGTCATGCTGGGAAATGGTGGCATTTTTGTACAATGCACTACATAGTGCACAAGTCCTCACTAATGGCTCTCTCTGATATGAAACATTTGAAGAAGATAAGTTAATAATGTAACTATGTGAAAATGATACATTGCTTATTAATAGCATCACAGTTAAAAATCCCATCAATACCGAAAAAATATCTCTTAAAAGGTCCTTTGAAAATGTAATAGAAACAGTGCAATATCTGTATGTAGCAGAATGGTGGCTGAAGCCAAACTTAGCAGCAGGAGCAGGATGAGAATTGGCCTGGTCTCAGCCCAGGCCTGTTTGTACTGCGGCCGCACTCACGTCGAGGTGCAGCAGGGATGAGCAAACAGGAACAGTCCACCTCCAGTGTCACCTTGTCCCGCGGTTCCCCACCCAAAGCCGTGACAATGGCAGCTGTGCCTCTGGGGAGTGGCGTGATGCTGCCTGGTAAACAATGCAGAGTCAGTCAGGCAATGACACCCTCGGCCCAAAGCGGCCGTGCCAGCCCCCCCCCCCATGCTGCACCGACGGCAGTTGCTGAATCAGGGCTGTCGCCAGCATTTGGAGGCCGTCCAGTGGCGGGGAGCGGGTCTCCGATGGCTCCTTTCCCAGCGTCTGATCATTGGGCCACTGCCGCTGTCTGCCGTCTGTGACACGAGCGGGCAGCTCCCTCCCTCCTTCCCTCCCTCCCTCTCTCTCTCTCTCTCTCTCTCCCTGTCTCTCTCGCTTTCTCTCTATCTCCACCAGCCCTTAGCAGAAGCTGCTGTCGTTTCTGTGGATCTGTGCCGCGCCGTTTGACAGCCTGGGAATTTTCCAACCGGAATTTTTCGGTCCTTTCGGAAGCCAGTGAAAGAGGAGGGCAGTAGGGTGTGGGGCAAGGGGGGTGGGTGTGTGCATGGGGGGGGCGGGGGGTGGTGATGTCATTAGCAGGAGGACGAGAGCGCATCAGCAGCCTGGTCACATGCTCGATGGGTCAGTGATGCAAATGGAAATGCATGGCAGTCTCAGCAGGCGTGGCTGCAGCTTGTCTCCCAGACTTCTCCGGCGTACCTGAGGAGCAGGAGCAGTGCGCTTGCCTTCGTCCGCGGTATTTAAAGGAGCCTCGTCCTCCCCCTGCATCCTCGGCTGGAGAACAGCGCCTGCAGGCTGTCCTCAGTCCCCAGCCCACGCCCACAGACCTGCGGGACTCGGACGCCACTGCAGTCCTCTGCTCAGGATGCTTTTCCCCAGTAACACGCAGGACTCTGCCCGGGTACTGCCCGATGCCAGGGACCGCGGCCGGGGCCTGCACTCACTCAGCCTGCCTGGGTGGGATCGCCCCCGGAGCAGCCACAGCACAGAGACGTCGCTGCAGAAGGGCACCCCCTCCAGTGAGTAAACTTTTCAGTCGGGGAAAACAGGAGCCTGTCAAAGCCTTGCCTATGTCTGCTCAGATAGCCACAACAAATGTGCAGTGACTTCCAGGCTCTGAGGCAAATAATCAGCAGCTGTCCATAGATCTCTGCTCCGACAGGGTTTAGTTCCCTGTTGCCCTCTTTCTAGAAAGAAGTGGGTCTTGCCTCTAACTTGCCTCACTCTTCTGCGTGGTGCATCAGCTGTTGGTCCTCTAAAATGGACCATTCTGGAAGATTTGAGATGCATCTAGCTGTTTTTGTCGCCCATGGGGCTAAACCATCTTTTATAGATATAACCAGGTTATTAAACTAAAATCTAAAAATGCTATGGAATATGAGACTGTATTGTCTTTCGGGGTGTGTGGGAATTGTGTACTGTGCTTATTTCAGGAACACGTAGCTTTTACTGTCTTTCCTCTAACATGCTTCTTGATAATTCGCGTCTCTCCTCAAAATGTAACCTTCCCAACGTAACTGCAAAAGAGGATTAGCCCTTCACGCCAAATATAAGATTGCCCTTGATACCGTGAAACTTTTACAATTCTGACGTGCCAATTCAGTGTTTTTCACCTGTCTAAACTCGCTTGTTCCTTTGTGCCCTTTTAATCCGAGCAAAAACAATTGGGACAGCTTGTCCCTTTTCTGTGCAGGGTAATTTGCAACATGACCTCCGTAAGCCTATATGTAAAGGGTTCTTCAGGCTAATTTGTCATCTGTTTTTAGGAGCAGAGATGCTACAAAATGGCTGACCTAATTAATATTTTAGGACATGAAAAAGCACCCCGTGCTCAAAGGAAATATAAAATTTAGTGACTTTTACACTTCATCGCCTGAGCTCGAGCTTATTGGGTCACGCAGTGAGCGCTTTATTGGCTGCTGCGTATAGCTGTCCTTTGACCACGGCTCACTCCTCAGTTTCATTACAGTGGATCCGATGTCTTTCTGTTCCAATTTGTTCTTTTCTGGTGCCTTTTGTGACTTGGCTCTGTCATATTATTCGCAGCCATAAATATGTGAAATGCAGGTGTGATCTATGTCATCGCTCGCATGGGTGCTGCTGGCTCAAGTATCACCGTCAGCACTTGCTTCCCAGCTCCTGGAGGAAACTGGCCTCTGTTAAGATGTAGAATGTGAAATATTCCTATGTCCAAACGTCCTTAAAAAGTTTCCTGCCCTTTGGTTTGGGTCTGACCCACTTTTGGGCTATATGCTGCATCACACCTATCATCTGCCCTGTGTGAATGAGCCGACTGCCGTAGGCAGGCAGCAGAGCGGCCTGCGGATTTCAGAGCTGGATCTGACTGCCAGGCTGAGCTCTACAGGGCCTGGCTAATACCACCAACTACTGGGCCACAGTAAAATGCTTCACATTGTTGTGGCCTGAGTGCGCTGCTTGGGCAGCCTGAGCCGCCGGGAGGCAGCTCCCCTACAGCTGACCCAACACACTGAGCTCACTGTTCCACAGCTTAGCCGGGCGATGGGGCCTTCGTTTTGGCACATGAGTCACGTAGGTAAAAGGTAAAAGATGCTAGTGAAACCATGCTGGTCCTTCTGGCCAGATACCACCACCCAGGAGCACGACGCTGGTTTGACTAAGGTCTGATTAACTGACCTGAGGTGGGCTACCACCTTAATGAGGTTCCACTTATTTGCACGCAAACTTAAAATATACTTATTACGTATTTGGAATGTAGCGCTAAAAGTAATAGTGATGCTTCTAGAAGCATCGCAGGGCATTGCCATGGCTGCCAGACTAACTCACAGGATCTTAGGGGGAATCTGGGCAAGTGTAGGGCCCATTCAGAATAGCCCAGGTGTCTAATTTGATTCCCTTTCAGTGTTAGGCATGCCCAGCAGCCCTCTGGGTAACATCCTGGGAAAACCCCTCGGTTTCCCCTTCAACGCACCCGTCAGCACTCCCGACTTCCAGGAGAGGTTCTCCAGCATGGCTCGGCTCAGCTCGCGGCTGGAGTCCCACTCCTTGCTGGACTCCCGCTCAAGCAGCCCAGTGGACTCGGAGACTAGTGGCTTCAGCTCAGGGTCCGACCACCTCTGCGACTTGCTGGTAAATGCGGAATTCTCCTTGCTTTTCTGGATTCACATCAGCTGGCTTTTCTAGTCCTCCGGCTGCTGAGTCATGTCCTGTCAGAGTGTGTGCGATGCAGCATTCGACAGTGCCAAAATCCCTGTCGATGCTCGCCTAAGCAAAGAGCTGGCAGTCTGTTTCGTTGTCTCAAGCCCAGGTAGATTATTCATGTCTACAGAATGCATTTCCCCGTTTGTCATTTTCCTTTGTACAAAGATCTGTCAGTGCATGTTACTTACTCGCCCCCACAGTCCTCCTTGAGGATCTCCCCACCACTGCCGTTCCTCATGTCCAGCATGCAAAAGGATGCCCTCAAGTTGGCTGTCAGCTCTCATTTGGACCAGGACAGTTCCCTTCTGGCCCCCTCCCCAAGCCCCGGATACGCCAACGCCCCACCTAAGCGCTGGCCTGGCGCCTCTGTGTGGCCAGGCCCGGACATCCAGGAGGCAACAGAAGATCCGTTCAGCATTGAGAGAGAAGCTCGACTTCACAGACAGGCTGCTGGTAACATGGCTTTTGAAACTGCTGCCCTGGACCTCTCAGATAATGCTGTTTGGGTTCTGTGCTGCATCTGTGAGACAAACCAAACCAGGCAGCCAAGAGCGGCAGACAGACATGCTTATTCCTTTATGAGATTTAGTTCTTAACTCGAGGGACAAAAAAATCACTGCTCCACATTTTCACTGCAAAGCCTTCACCTACTTTCAACATGTCACAATTAAGCCGTCTTTAGGATGCCTGCGCAAACAAAACATATTTTTCTAAAATGTTTTTTTTAAAACATACAGAGTCACAGTGTGGCTGTAGTTGAATTTGTTCTTAAGCAGCATAATGGTTCTGCTTTGAAGCCTATTAGCTGTCATTCATTGCACTGGCAGGG